GTATGTATAATGTTAGTTGGTTAACTTCATTTATCAAATAGATACAGTCAAACCAAAATTTATTCAGACACCTTCAACATTTCTCACATTATCACAGTTTATTCACTATAGTTTAGAAAATGGTAATAAAATATGAGAAGATTCAGCTTGATAATGTTAGATAATTTTGATAGAAAGGTATGTTATGGATTACAATAAACCAAAAATTATTCAGACAGCTGTTAGTATGACAGTATTTACACAACTATGAATACTTAGTCGGGCAGCCCTTAGCCTCAATGACAGCCTGTAGTCTCCTGGGCATGCTGTCATCCAGCTTCATGCAAACCTCAACTTCAGTTTTTTCCCAGACTCGGTCTGAATAATGTTTGGTCCCAAATTTGTATCAGTTTTACTGGTAGTCCACTGTATGAAGAATTTGTCAGTTTACGTTATTTTGCTATCCTCGCTTACATAAATGAACTATAGTGTCCTGCACCCACTAGTAAAAAAATATCAAAAAGTATATCTGGTCTCTGAATAATATTTGGTTTGACTGTATATCCTTCGGTTATTTTCACACTTAATTATACCCATTAAAATGTATTTTATTTGTTTTTATTTTATTCTATCTATCTATCTGTTTTCTTTCTGTAATTTAGTTTTTCTGTCTCTCTGTTGGTTTTGTAGGAAATGATGTTAAGTGTTCATGCAGACGATGTGGAAGCAGCATGTATAAAGTGACGTTGTTCTTGTGGTCAAACAGAGTTGGATCGGGGCTGGCGTGGAGCGTCAGGAGCTGGTGGTGTTTTCTAGCGAGCGTGACTCGTGGGCTCAGGAGAGGAATCGTTTGGAGAAGTCTCTCCGTCAGGCCGAGGCAGAACTGAGCCGTCTGAGAGCAGAGATTATTCACTCCGAAGCGCTGCGGGATCTGACCGCAGCCGATCTGGACAACACGGCCCTCAGGGTGAGCGTTAGCAACCAGTGATCCCTCTCACTGTTTTCTTGCTGAGCAAAACCTTTCTCTATTGGGCGGACGTTTTGGCCACCAGAGCAAAAACATTCTTTACAGCGCGCACACAAAAAAGAGCGCAACTTTTAACTGTAATGTGCAATTTATATTTGATTTGACCATTGATGTAACTAAATGATGCACATTTTAGGTTACCAGAGAAAACATTTTTTTACAGTGCTGTTACCAAGAAATTTTTAAAAAATCACCTCAATTCTTTATAATATTAGTGCTGTCAAGCGATTAATCACATCCAAAATAAAGGTTTTTGTTTACATAATATGTGTATTCTGTGTGTATTTATTATGTATATATAAATACACACACATACAGCTTATATTTTGAAAATATTTACATATATGAATATAAATATATACAAATAAATTTAATATATAAACGTAACATATTTTTCTTAAATATATACATACATAATAAATATACACAGTACACACACATATTATGTAAACAAAAACTTTTTTTTTATAAAAAATAATTTTTATTAATCGTTTGACAGCAGTAGTGTATATAAATACACACACATGCATGTAGACAATTCAGAAAAATGTTATGTTCATATATGAAATATATTTATATATAATATAAATTATATTAATATTATTATAGACATGTAAATACATGTAAATATTTTCAAAATATATACTGTATGTGTGTGTCTTTATATATACATAATAATACACAAACTTTTATTTTGGATGTGATAAATCACGATTAATCGTTTGACAGCATTAAATATAATATTGCATAATATAATACAATATAAAGATATGAAAAAATGAAGCAGATATTGGTCATGAATACGGTTTCATTTGAGTAAAACTAGCGTATATACACACAGAAATTTAAAAGTATGGACGGCAACCTGTCAAAATAAAAGTTTGGTTTAACTTGAAGAAATTGTTGCAGAAATATATTACTGTAATTAAGTAGAACGTAAGTAATACTGCTGCTACTGCTGGTGAAAAATGTATAGAAACTTTATTTTTTGAGGAATAATCCCACAATAGTTCTTCCATGTTTCAATTTGACTAGAAAAAATACAATTTGTTTCATTTTCATATTTTATGCCTTCAGTTTATAACCAGTAAAAATGTAAATAAGCAACACAGAATTTCAAAAGGCTATTGTAAAAATAGTTTTTATGCATTCAAATAATTAGACATGCTAAAACAGAATTTGTTAACAATCATAAGGTGTGAATAAATAAAAAAGGGCCCTAAACGTCATTTTTGTTAAACTTAATAAACTGATTTAAAATTATTAATTAAAATCATAAAACACATATGTGACCCTGGAGCACAAAAGCAGGTATATTTGTAACAATAGCCAACAATACATTGTATGGGTCAAAATTATACATTCCTAACAAACCATACATCAATGGAAAGCTTATTTATTCAGCTTTCAGATGATGTATAAATCTCAATTTACAAAAATTGACCCTTATAACTGGTTTTGTGCTCCAGGGTCACATATTAGACATGGTTTTTAATTAATAAATAATGAATTTTTTTTCACCGCCCGTCTGTCTCCACAGAGGATGTATGGGAAATACCTGCGAGCCGAGAGCTTCCGGAAGGCTCTGATCTATCAGAAGAAGTATCTTCTGCTGCTGCTGGGAGGATTTCAGGAGTGTGAGGAGGCCACGCTGTCTCTGATCGCCCGGATGGGAGGCTTCCCTGCACACACCTGTCTGGAGTCTGTGAGCCGTCAGCGCAGGGGCTTCACACGCTTCAGATCGGCCGCGCGCGTCTTCATCGCCCTCTCCAGGTACACACACACCTTCACACTTCACTAGGGATGTGACGATGAACCGCGAGCCGGGTAAAAATCGATTAAAATGTGTGACGATTCAAATCGGTTGAGATGCCAAACAAATCGCGATACAGTTGGAGCAGGAGTTTATATGAATGTATCTCTGAGGGGAGTCTTTAGAAAAGTTTGTGGTATTTTCTTTTCATCTTGCCTCTGAACGATGCATATTAGAGTTCATAAGCGCAGCGCTGCTTTGTTTACAGCGGTAACCAAGGAAACACTGTATCATTGCTGTTCATAAGCGCAGCTCTGCTTTGTTTACAGCGGTAACCAAGGAAACACTGTATCATTGCTGTTCATAAGCGCAGCTCTGCTTTGTTTACAGCGGTAACCAAGGAAACACTGTATCATTGCTGTTCATAAGGCAGCTCTGCTTTGTTTACAGCGGTAACCAAGGAAACACACTGTATCATTGCTGTTCATAAGCGCAGCTCTGCATTGTTTACAGCGGTAACCAAGGAAACACACTGTATCATTGCTGTTCATAAGCGCAGCTCTGCTTTGTTTACAGCGGTAACCAAGGAAACACTGTATCATTGCTGTTCATAAGCGCAGTGCTGCTTTGTTTACAGCGGTAACCAAGGAAACACTGTATCATTGCTGTTCATAAGCTCCACCTGCTGTCAGAGAGTGGATCTGCGTCTCATTCAGTCTTTAAATTCTACGGTCAAGTCACAGAGTCTTCTGGCTTCAGCTTGATGTAACCGTATTATGGAGCGGACACTGATTGGCTGATAATGCTGGATGAACGCTGTCTCCTGCAGGATGAGGTTTCTGGTGAAGCGATGGCAGAGAGCAGCTGAAGGAAGTGACACGTCTCAGATTGTCAACAGAAACGGCCTCGCTCAGATCACAGGTGACAGTCTCACATTACAAACACACACAAATACTGTCTACTGTTGTGTTACTGCTTCATATCTTTGTTGATTAAACCGTGGTACCTTTTATTTTTCAGGATTGTTTGGTGAATAGAAAGAATTAGGGATGTAACGATATTATCAATATCGTGATATCGCGATAGCAAAACTGTCTCGATATTATCGTGGTCACATGACGATATGAAACGATAGGTCTTCCGGCGCAAAAAGTGTAGTTTTTAAAATATATTTGTTTAAATCTCTTTCAAGTGTAGAAATTAGGAAAGAAGTATTGTAATTTTCCTACTGTAGTGTAAAGCGAAATTAATAAACCTATTTTTATTATTATTAGAATAATTTAACTTTTAAAAATCGCAATAAATATCGAATTTTATATTACGGTATTATCGTACCGTGAGATTTTGATATCGTTACATCCCTAGAAAGCATTAATTTGAAATAGAAATCTGTTGTGACATTATAAATGTCTTTACTGTCACTTTTGATGAGTTTAGTGTGTCCCTGATGATTAGAAGCATTAGTTTGTTGTGTTAAACATTGGCTGAAGGTGCGGATGTGAGGAACGAGTCATCGTATCTTCACCCCGGCGGTGTGGAGGCGTTCAGAGAGAGACGAGCGAGCAGCCGCGGACGCACGGGACGGGACTCTCCTCGCTCCGCTGCATCGCTCCAGCACAGGTGCAAACAATCATCCATAATGTATAAACATTTTGGCTGAGAAATCAGCCCTAAAAGATCAGTCAGTACTGTGTTTGATGAGAGACGCATTGAATGGACATTACAAAAAGTAGCTTTAGAAAGAACTGTTTTGATTTAACATTGAAAGAATAATGTTTTTTTAAAGGGGTGGTTGATTGCGATTTCACTTTTTTAATGTTAGTTAGTGTGTAATGTTGCTGTTGGAGCATAAACAATATCTGCAAAGTTGCAGCGCTGAAAGTTCAATGCAAACGGAGATATCATCTTTTAAAATTCTGGCAGTTTAATGCCTACAAAAACAACTGGTAGGGACTACAACGAGCTTCTTCCCAGGTCCGTTACGTCACGAACCCAGATAAACCCCGCCTCCGGGAACATGCAGCAAAGGGGGCGAGGCCATGCTGCGCTGCTTTAGAGAAGAGGAAGAGAAAACTAGAGGTGCATGTAAAAATCTGTTCATATATGAATCGCTATTCTGTCTTCTAACGATTCTAATGGATTCACAAGTTTCACAATCAATGTTCAAAAGCAGCAGGTTCTCAGTCCTGTTCCTCGCATCGCCCTGCTCTGCACATGCTCTGCATCTCTCTCTCTCTCTC